TGCAGAATGTGCCGTGAAAATTTAATAAATGACAAATTAATAAAAAGGCATGAACATTTTTTTTGTATCGAAAAAATATCGAACCGTGACACCAAAGTATCGAACCGAACCGAACCGTGAATTTTGTTGTATCGTTGCACCCCTAAAACACACCTTTCTGCGTGTGCATGCAGGCTTTAGTGCATGAGAATGTTCTTTTAGTTTCCTCCTTCTTTCTTTGTTGCTGCTGCTAAAAACGTATAGGTTCAACTTTTAACACCACAAAAGCATTCTGATGGCTTGTTTCAGTGCCCAGTGATGCAGCCACTGAAACGAGCATAAAGATATCAAAGAGAGGGCGTCCTGTGACAGCCAGAAAAAATTGCCATCATTTATGTGTCAACATCAGCCATGTGGGAGGACAAGTTTATTGACATCTTGATGATCATCCTGGACCATTCTCCCTCGCTCTCATCGACTGCAACTCAACATACATTAGTCAGCAACAGGGCCAGGCTCACGTCTCATTTGTCAAAGGGAGAGAAGCGAGTCCTTGTAGACATTAAAATAAAGACGAGAGGATAAGGAAACCCTAAGGAGAAGGAAATGCAGGATGTCAGAGACTGTATATTTCTTAACGTACTAGACAGGAAGTGAAGTGGGCTCTTTTTGATGCTTGAGAGGTATCTGTGCGAATAAACAAGCTAGCATAGTGTGATTTAAGACACGCAGACAACTGGAGTGTATTCTTATATCAGGGCAGATCCTTTTAAAGCCTCTTATTTTGCTATCGGTGATCAGTGTCCATTTAACAAATGAAAAAGTTGATTGAGCGTGCAGTGTGTGTATAAACAGCTTATTACAGGAAGCCATATCAGTTAATCTGGAAAGACAATGCTGACTGCTTCATAGTCAGTTTGCTGGTTATAAACACATAATGCACTAATTGATTCTCATTTGTTAGGAGAAAAAAATAACACGGCCGCTTTTACGGTGACTGTCGGGAAATTTAGGGGAACCAGCTTATTTTTGATTTCTTCAAATGAGCACATGAATGTTCAGGCATGACTAAAATAAGGTAACGGATTCTGACTGCAGCATACGCCTCAATTGTTCAAAATTTGTAGGTAAAACTCGATATATTGATAAAGTATTTAGTGGAAGAACTTCAAGCAAGTTATAAAGATAATTTTTTAATTTTATTTGGCCAGTGAACCCTGTGCATTTTACCTCAGACCTGGTTTGCATTGCCTAGGCTGAAGCTGTCCCACTTGCTGAACCCAGTCTAGCAGCTCTAGGCCGTGCCCTATCAATACCAAAGTGGACGAGCCAAGGCATTAATAAATATTGAGCTCTTGGATAATCTGTGAAAAAGTTGCTTGACCTCTGTGGCTCATCACTAACTACGCTGAGCATTACGTGGACTTAGGATTCTGGGTGTGGAGGGATTAAGATAATTACCGTTATTATATTCTCGGTGTAAGGACGATTGCAAGCCTCGGCTGGTCTCCGCTCAGCTCTTGACAGCTAAATTAAAAACACGTGCTGCCGATGTGACCCTGGATGATTGATCCATCTCTTTTGTGTCTGCATCTCTTTCTGTCTTAAGGAGAACCTTGAATCCTTACACTTCAGCTAGAGACTGTAAAATGAAGTGGGGGGG